GAACAGAAACAATGCTTCTAAGTGATGCTGGGAATGGATTAAGAGGGAGCATGTATATTGCAATATGTAAGGATCAACTGGAAAGATGTGGAGGAAAGAAATTAGCATTTATTGAGCACTGATTTTATCCTATGCTCTTAACACGCATTATTTCTTTAACATAGTTCTTTATTTGGAGGGGTAGGTTTTACATAGAAGAAAATTGAGGTTCAGCGGTGTTAAGTAATTTGTTTAAAGTACACAGGTTTTAAGTTGCGATGTTGAAATTCAAAAGGAGCTGACATTAAAAAAAATAATTTTTTCATAGTCTGCTGGGTTGCTTGTCCTGTCCTTAAAGTCTCATTGTATTTGAAGCTGCTTGATTGTAGAGAGCTTTGGGAATTCAAACTTCCCTGAACCCCTGTGTAGTATCGTGGCCATATAAGCCACCCTCTCAGTAAGTATGGATCACATCTGATGCTTTGTAGTAAGAAAAGAAAAAATATGGACACCATTAACCTAGAATATTTCATTTCTTTCAAGTGTTATCTTCCCCAGTTTGGACCTTTGTGTTAGGCACCCACAGACCACACTACATGTCGAAAAGATGGCAGGAAGCTGGATTTCCACTGCCAGTCTGGCGGGTTGCTGTGCTAGGACCATCGCTGACTACCTTTCTGGAGCTTGTGAAGAGAGCCAGAAGCCATTGCCTTCACTATGGCAACTTGGAGGGCTGGGTGCCAGTGTAGATGCCCCCTACAGATCTTCATCAGGCGAGTGGGCTGTCAACCTCCACACACTTACTTAGTGGTTCTCTGGAAGGTGAACGGCATGTCATTCTTACCCATGTAGAGCTATGCCAAAGAGAAGAGCTAGCATTTATTCAGCACTTACTCTACGCCAGAGCCTCTCCTAAGAGCCTCATGTGAACTGTCTCACCAAATGTTCATCATGACGCTGTGACAGAGTCTACAATTACTATCCATCTTTTACAGATGTGGTAAGTGAAGCGGAGAATGGTGAAATAATTTTCCCAAGACCACATGCTGATAAGTGTTGTAGTCAAGATTCAAAACCGTGCCGCTGACTCCAGAGACTTGGCTCTTAATCACTGTGAGGCTGCGTTACATGCAGAATAGTGGTTTCATTTCTATGTATCGTTATTAAGATGTCGTGACAACATACTCAAAATTCATTTTAAAAACTTGTCGCATTCCCAATGTGATTTTGCTTCACCGTGGGATCAAAATATTTACCAGAATACATCATTGATCTTATAATAAACATCGAAATACAGTACAACTCCGGGTACAGGAATTACTTTTGCAAGCAAACTTGGAAAAATTCTTAATTCTTGAAACAACTGCTTTAAATCCTTACTGACATGAAGCAGGGCATACATAATAATACAATAAAATGGCTTACTATTTACTCAGATGGATCTAAGGTTATCAGCTAAAACACCATAATCCAACGCAATGAGAAAAATTCAGTGTGCAATCCAGCTATTGCCACATATTCAGACAGTTAACAATGAGAACAAAAAACATAGGGACAGCTGAGTGAACTCTTCAATCATTAGTGTAGCTATATTATGCCAAATGGTAAGGTATTTAAGGAGAGTAAAAGCCGATGAGTTCCTGCCACTCTTAATTCTGTGACTTTTTAGTAAAATACAGCAAGTGGAAGTTTGAGGGTGGGGGGCAGTGGAGAACAGCAATTTCAATAGAGAAATACTTCTAGGACAAGTTCCCCTACATGATTCTGTTCTTACCTGTGTTAAGTTGAGGACCCTTGGGTTTCTCTTCTCAGATGTCTTTAAAAGTGCAATAATTTACAAAGCGCAGCCCACACCACACAGACTCAAATGTCACTTTGTTACCTTGACTATTTTATCTTCCCTCAATCATCACATTGATCTTTACAAACACTTCATTAAATATCACTCTGAAAAAAGAAATATTCAGCAAACAACTAACCCTTCAACAGCCCCAATATTGTGCGCATATATATATATATATATCCATATGTGTTTTGTAATAAAACACAAATAGTCACTTGATTAGGTTCTGTAATTTTATTGCTGACATTATCTTTATTTGAATAGCACAAGATGCAAAGAACTTAGCAATGTTTGGGAAAGCAGAAAGAATTCCTAGGAATGTAAGGAGGTAGTTTCTTGCTGTGCGTATCCCAGATTCATAACCATGTTGCCTGGTTTCTTCCTAAAAATTTATTTTCACCTTTCTCTCAGCAAGTTGGAGTTTATGGGAATCATCTTATTGAGTATACTTTATTATTCTAATTTAACACAAATTTGAAAAAATTCAATGCTTTTACATCAATTGTTACAACATGCATTCATTTAGAAAGAACAATGGTATAGTGAATTATACAAAGGTCCTTATATTTTAATCCAATATGGAAAACCAAGGTAGCTATTATTTTCTCACATACAAAAACTTAACATCTACTTCCTTGATTGGCTTCTTCACCCAGTGAAAAAAATCTATTTGAAAAATCACTGAATTGGAGAAAACAAAAATCAATCTATTTGGTGATGTGGATCCAACTCATCACCCTCCTGTTTATAGAGAAAGAGCCAGACCCTGCCTAAGGAAACTTCCTTTTTCAGATTTTATGTTTCTGCATGTCTCTAATTTTACATATCACATCCCTCTTTAAGCCATCATTTCATAACTGTAGTTAGAAAAAGCACTCACTTATTTTCTCTGATTTTCCATTTTCACAGAATTTTTTAGATGGACCACAAGCAATCTCGTAGAAAAACTCCAATGTCTGGGAGATTCTGCAAGAGTGGGCAGCCTGTCCAATGCACTGTCCATTTGTCACCCAGCACAAATAGGGAATCCTATTACCTACAAAGGTATTAGGAAAGTGCTCCCAGCTGAAAGCATTTACCCAATTCCAATTGTTATTTGGAAGTCTAAAATACTAAGGGTGGTACTGTTCCAGGAGCTACTGTTTAAAACAATGCAATGCCTGTTTCGAGTGGAAAATCAGTACTTGAAAATCTGAGTTGGCTTTAAAAATAATAACTGTGCATCCAAAAAAGAATTCTTAAAGAAACATTTATATGCCAGCCACATGTTTTTAATTTTTATAACATTGGCTTACCTTAATAAATGTGTAGACTCTAATAATTGTTCTATTTTGATGTTTTTGTATATTTTTCTGTTTTAGTGAGTTTACAAAGATGTTAATGAATAACAATGTAGGAAAAATATGTATCTGCCAGTACCGAGTTGCTGTGGTTTATAGGCATTGCAAATGCTGTTTGGAAAAAAAATTCTGTTAAAAAGTAATTGAAAACTGCTCTGATTTTTTAAAAAATGAATGTTGCCATATCCTTACAGGATGTCAGATAAAAAGTAATCACGTTCCCTCTATAATTGTGTTTGTTGGCATTTATGTAAGAATAATAATGCTTTAAGGTTATTTTCATAGTTGTTCACTTAATGTGGGATTACCATCAAAATCTTCGTAATTATCTGAGATCACCCATTTGAAAGCAGTGTAGTAAAATATGTTAGTGGTTAAGACACTCTAGCAGTTTTAATACTAAACAGATTAACGCACATGAAACTAATATTATAATTTGTGCATTGAATAATATGCCAGATCAAATTTTTTTTTTGGTGAAGAGAGAATTTTTATGAAACGGTACCCTTTCTAGCTACTGCTTCCTATTTCTTGAAATACTAAAGCAATCAGCTAGAAAACTCCATGGGAGATATACATGGGTATGCATGACTTATAGACTTCAAATATTATTCTGTGGATTTGTCATTGCACAAATTTAAGAAATCATCATTTCTGAGGTTTGCTTTAAATAAATTTGAGAACCAAAATATGGCAATAGGAAGGTGATCCAGAAGAATGAAGATACAGTCCAGGTGGGATTAGGAACAACAACAACAAAAAAAATCACTGAAGCATAAGAGATTTCTAATTGGCAAAAGCAGCTATAAATTTATTTTATCACCACCAGCAAACAAATGTAGGTCCATACCTTATGCATTTTTTAAATAATAAAAAGTATATTTTAATATGTACCCCAGAGTTTTATAAAAACCATTTCTCCACCTCAACTTCCCTCCTCCTTCAGAAGTTGATATGAGGAAGATGGGTAGTCATTTAGAAAGGAATATGAAATTATAAATTAATTACTGGGGTCATGCTCATCTTTCTTGAATCCATGTGAAAATAGGCTTCATATCCCAGACCTAATTATTTCATAATCCTTGTTACATTCGGCTCTTTGGGTCAGGGTGGGGTGTGAAATCTTGGAGACTAAATTGAATGTCACAAACGTGGGTGCCTCCCCCCAGACATGGGGAATGTGTGTTAAAAGACTGTATCTGTATAACTTCAGCTGTGCCTGAAAGGCGGGTGGGGGTGTTGAGGATTTAAATCATGTTGTTTCCACTTAGCAGAGAGGACCCATAAAAAGAGATTTATTATCATATTTTCTTTTTTGAAATGTAGTATTTGTTGACTTGAAAAGTGCTCCTCAGTATAGAGCAGGGTAAATATTACAATTTTTTTTGTTGTTGTTAAACAGCCGCCAAGATTTAATTGTCTGTGAAATGTAAGGCTTAGGACCTGATTTGAGTTAACTACTGTGCTGCTGAAACAAACTCGGCTGGCCTGCGCGGGGCCCGAACGCACGCCGCCGCGGGTTTACACGGAGAGCCGTCCCGCAAGCGTTCAAGGAGGGCTGGGGGCAGCCGCACGCCTACGGGAGCCCATCCAAAGGGCTTGGAGCGTCCTTCTTCCTGCCGCAGATTTCAAGTGACTTTGTACAAAAAGTCAAACAAGAATAAGCGGCTATGGAAAAAAACTACAACAAATCACGCTAGCATTTTTACAGCAAGAGACAGAAGGTGAAATCCAGGAACCGCTAACAAACACTGGAGAAGCCTGTCTCGGGATAGGAGACGCGAGAGGGAAGAGGGGAGAGAGGGAGCAGGGTAAGGACACAACATGATGGCCACATGTGTATTGCACATTTTATTGTTATCGTATCTGCCTCCGCGGCTCGGTCGAGAACCTGAAGAGTCCGCCTCTTTCAACAGTGTTCTGCGCGCCCTTTGCACGCGGCTTGGGTGAGGTGCAGCCGCCCGCGTCCCCTCGCGTCCCCCCACCGCCGCGCCACCCCCTTCTCCCTGTAGTGGCTCCGCGGGTCGCTTCCTCCACCCGCCCAGGGTGCCGAGGAGAAAGCGGGCGGCTGCAGATTTGCCCCGGTGGCACCGCAGCCACAAGCCAACCCGTAATTGCAAAGCAAACAAGGCTGAAATATTGGGATTGGTCTCAGTCGTGACAAGATCTACGCTTTTGCCGCCAATTTGTTTGTGCAGCTCTATTTAAAGGCACTTGATTGAGGAAATGTTGGAAATAGCGGTGAGGGTTTCCCTAATGAGACCTCGGGAGGGAAGCGGCGGCCTTCGCGCGGCGCGGAGGAGGGGCGCCGTTAACCCCTTCCTGCCCGCCTCCCGCGAAAAGCCCTGGGCGACGAGCGGGGGTGCAGATAGGTGCCCCTCCGCCCTGGAGCGGTGACCGCCCTGGGCCCGAGCGTCGGAGAACACGCCTCGCTGGTGGCGGGAGCCGCGAGGGCGGTGGGATCCAAACGAGAACTCAACCGGGAGGGCGGGGGAAGCCCAGCAGCCCACGCAGCGGCTGGAGGGCCCGCGGCCTAAATCCGGAGGGGCGGCCCCGGCCGCGCCCCTCGCGCCCCAACATTCCCGGGCCGTGGCCGCAGCTCCGCAGCTCCCGCTCCCGCACAGTCCTGCGAGGACTGAGGCCTTGCGAGTCCCGCGGGGATGCGGGGGTGCCCACGACGTGCCCGGGCCAATCGCTGTCGGGCTGCGTCTTCAGGCGGCTGGAAGGGAGGGCAAGAAACCCAAAGAAAGAAGAGAGAAAATCCATGTTTATTGAGCTCAGCATGTTTCATTTCATCTTCCCTAAACACCTTTGAGGTCGGTGTCATTACCCCATTGTTCAGATGGGGAGAGTTCGGCTTAGCGACACCGAGGAGCCTGTCCTAGGAGAACCAAGAGCCTGCCCTGCCTGGCTCTGACTCCAGAACTCAGGATGTCTTGGGGGGGTACCCGGCGAGGCCGGGCAGGGCCTCCAACTCACGGACCCCACACTGGCTGACGCAAACCCAATGCCAACGCGATGGATGGGAGGAAGCCTTCCCTGGTTCCCCCATGGGCTTGAGGGAGGAGAGAGAAGGGAAGCAATACCTGGAAAGGCTTTCTGGAGGAGGTGGCATTTCAGCTGGGCCTAGAAGAAACACAGAAGTATGGATTTTTTTAACATGGGAGAGAAATGGGTTGTTTGTCAGCTATGCTGACAAGTCAAGGGATGCCAGACCAACAGCTGAGGGCACTGTGGGGTGTTTCACCACCTGCTGCCACCTTCTGCCTGCCCCTCTCACTTAAAGAACTGTGAGTTGATCAAGCCCTGAGCCAAAGTTCCAGTGTCTCTTAAGACTGAAAACCTAGGGCTTTCAGACAACACCAGTGACTAGACTTTGACCCTGACGAAAGCCCTGGACCTGGGCTAAAGGGACTGTCAAGGGCAGGGGCAGGAAAATGGCACTGGGGGCGCTCTCACCGGCACTCCTATTAGAGCCACACATTGCAGCACCTTCCCAGAGAGATCTGGTCAGAGATATACCTTAGCCAATCTGAAGTTTGTCTTTCTGGAGTCAAAGGCAGTTGTAGACTGGAAGAAGGTAGACCCCTAGGGGAGCAGGGGAGGCAGAGGAGGCCTGGTTTCAGCTGTACTTTCCCCAAGAATGATCTGCGCTTTCTGTCAGCAAAACAAACAAACAAACAAAAAACCATCAGTCACACCGATTTAGTGAAGCCTTCAAATGTGTTCTGAATGGAATTCTGCTTTTCTTGTATGCAACCAATTCCTCCATTTGAAGTTGGATGCTTTGCTAGCAGAATGCAATTCCATTTTTTTTTGTTCCTCGAGGTTTTGGCCTGTGTTAACTTAAGTGGGCACTCACGCAAGTATTAAAAAGAAAACCATTCTCTTCTGGAAAATGGAACAAAGTTGCGCCTCTCCAATCATGGGGCAGATATATAATCTGTAACAACAAATTAACCTCCTGGTGCTGCGCATTTCCAGCAAGCATCCTGCCTTCTCTGTTTATATTATAACTTTTCTGCCTGCAATTATTTTTATTTTTATTTTCTGTCACTTTAACAGAAACCAGAGCCTTTTCTTTTCATGTTTTGTACACAACATGTTCATTTTGATAAGATGTTCTTTCGTATCCTCTTTTAGCTTGCCTTTCCTTGTTTAGAGTTCTGTATCAGGAGTTTCTAATATGCCCCCCTTTCTCTCTCTCGCTCTCTCTCTCTCTCTCTTTTTAAGAACTTGTCCCTGTCTTGCTTTATTTGTTTGTGTGAAATTTAGTTTGAAAGGAGATCAGAGAGAGCAGGAGGGGTTTGTAATAAGAGAATGACCGAATGACCCAAAGGCTGATTATCTATCATTAACTGGAGACTTGGTGTACCCAAATTACCAGGGAGACCTCAGTCTGCCGGATCCTTACCCGGCCAGAAAGGCAAGTGTGGAATGCACACACTGAAACAGGCTTGTGACATTGCAAATGAAGACACTCTGCTCACACATTTTCTTAAGGAGGTTTCCTTCAAAACTCAACTCGGGTTCAGTGGGCAAATTTATCAGATTCTGACATGCTGTATACAGGTAAAAAAAAAATCTCTGCAGAAAGACTAACTTTAACATTTCTGTAACTCACTTTTTTGTGTGTTGTTTCGTTAGAAGCAAAATTGCAGTTAATTGTCTAAGCTCCAGAGAATATTGAGAAATCAAGCCAAGCTGCTTTTGATCTGCTCATGCTGCTAAACCCAAGCCTTGTAAAAATCGAGGTTTGCCATTAATATTGACAATAAAAGTGTTTCTTTTTGTTAACCTGAAACCTAACCATCCTGGCTCACGTCCCTTGTCTAGAAGCAAAGGCCCTGGGAGAAAGTAGAAAAGGTTTGGAAGAAACTGCCAGGGCTACAGAAATCCATCTCTGTGAATTTGCTAAAGGGGTTTCAGAACAGAACTTCCAGGAATGTGAGCAACACTGAAGTTGGAACAGGCAATGGCTGGGGCCTCAAGTCACAAACAAACCCTCCATCGCATAAATGGTGTGTCCAGAGCTCTACGTTTTAACTTGCAATTTGCTTTCGTATTTTATTCTGAACCCCAGACAGTATTATTGCAGACTCACTGAAGTCTAACATAGCATGTATGCAAAATTACAATTATGTCCTCATTTGAATGTGGAATAATTTCCTCTGGGCTTGGAAGGAAATATTGCTAGTGTTTATGTAATTTGCTTGAAACAAGGACGTGGATGAGTAGTTAGCATAAATCCTATGGGATGTATTTTCTTATGCCACTCTTGCTCTGAACTCTGTATTTTACTACAAAGTAGCAAAGATCACCTCTACCGTACCTCTTAGGACCCATATAATGACATTAATAACACCTCCCATGTCTACCTCATGCTGCCTCTTGCGATGATGCTCTTTCACGTGCATTATCTTTTGTTCCCTTTAGTCTGAATAAGTATTTTAGCTTTACAGACAGACTTGAAGACCTAGCAAAGTGTCTAGTTCTCCCTCATCGATGAATATCCTTGAGACCAGTAGTATATCTGCCAGGTAATATGGAGCTCTAGTCATTGATTATTTGGAGAAAATGGAATTTCCCATCCACCGCCTGTAATCCTGGATGTTTAGATTTTTCTTCCACGTTATACAACTTAAACAATGTTATATGTCAATTGTATCTCAATTTTTAAAAACATATTTTTTTCTTAAAAAAGTTAGGCTGAACCAGTATCTTCACCAGTTTCAGGTTCAGTGACATCAAAAACCTTGTAAATCCAAAGATTGCTGGAGGGTAAATTAGAAGGGAGGGAAGGAGAGAAGGAGAAGGGGAGTGAGTGAGGGGAAGAGAAGGGGAGAGAGAAAGAGAGAGAAAAGTAAAATGGGGGGGGTAGGTGACAGGCACCAAGAAAGTCCCAATTTTCTCCACTGACTTAAATGTGTCTTAATCATAACTGGACTGAAGAGGTCATAAGCAATCAGCCTTTTCATAGTCATCGTTGCAGCTGAGCCAGCCCCTCCCTCGCCCCCATCTCCACAGATCTGCTCTGGATGGGGAAGCGGGGTGAAGAGGCCTCACTCACCAAACACCTTGCCCCATCCCAGAATCCGGAAAAGAAAATGCTCAAAAGAAATGAAGCCTCATACGAGCTAAAGGCAGCTTTTCTAACCCTTTATTTTGAAACAACATAAAAGTCCAATTGAACTTGATTCTGCTTTGTAGATGTAAACTGTGAGCAACAACACATGTCTGGAGCCACTGTCACTTGCCATGGTTAACAACTACTATTTCCCAAAAGGAAAACAAGAAAGTGAGGGACTACAAAACCCCAGTTAGAGAGGCCCTTGCCGCTACTCGGGCAATATACCTTGTTCTAGATGTCTTAACAGTTCTGGGATTAAGTGGTTAGCATGTAAAATGACTCAATCCCACCCTATCCCAGACAGGAATGGTGTCACAGGAAGCACTGTCCTTGGAGTAGGTGGGGCTGGGGTTACATCTTCAAGAACACAAGGCTTTTTGTGACATCTTCCGGGTTTCATGTTCTTTCTGGGGTTCTTAGCACACCTGGGGTTCACTGTATATAAGAGTATTACAGATATTTAAGGGAATGCTCAGTTGCTTCTACTGTGTTGGTTGGGAAAATAAGGTAAAACGAGATTTGAAAAATGGCCGAGGGAATTGAGCCATAATTCCTGTAAATATAAAATGTGTACTTAGGGCCCTTTGGCTTGATTCATTTGAGGTCCAGTTTATTCTGCGCTCTCATGAGCAAAATACAAGATACAAACTTCCCTGCCTTTGAAATAATACATACCTCAAAAAGATCTGTATTTTCCCTAAAAACAAACTGGAGTTTTCTTTTTAAAAAACATTTAGTTTAAACCAGATTGATTTGCAAAGCAGTGTCTCACAAGACCAAAATGTTTGCAAAGGAGTGCTCAGCCTCTCCCCGTGCTCTTTGAATCTTTTCCAGGGGAAGAGAGGGAAGGGAAAGAAACAGAAACAGGGGCACAAAATAAATGTTTGAACCCGGTTCTGTCTGTATAGCTGGAGGCAGATATAAGGAGCAGCCCAGGGGGTGCTCCATCAGCTACAACAAAGACCCTGGACACAAAATCACAAACATTCCCCACAACCGGGTCTTCCCCACTGTGAAGCGGTCTCCCGATCAGGGTTGCAGCCCCTGGACTCCAAAAAGGAGAGGCAGGAAGTAGGCCCTCACCACAATTCCTCCTGTGGGCACCCACCCCAGGAGGCACCAGGTGTTATCTCAGCTGCTGGGAACCTGTGCATCCTCACAATATGTGCTCTTTGGGGAGTAGTGCCCTGGGGTGGGGTCCGTGGGCTGACACCTAAATCTGGAACTCCACCCTCCTTCCCTTTATTTCCCCACTCTTTCCTCCTCCAACACTGCCACTACCAGCATTACCATCACTACCCCCTCCAAAGAAGGCTACCTACATTGGGGGCAAACCTGAGACGGCATCTTTGCCTCACAGCTCTCCAAAGCAGCAGGCTAACCCAGCATCCCACGAGGCTTGAAACAAAATGTGCCAAGGAGAACACTAAGGGGACATTTGGTTGAGAATTTAGAGTGGAACTCAGCCAGTCTGGCCTCTGAATCAGTAACCACAGTTGAAGACACTAGAGTTCACAACCCATTTGTCCCCTACCTCCAAGCGGCCTAAGACCGTAGCCTCTGGGTTTGGCTTTCTGAGATAAATGAAGCCCTAGACCCTTGGACAACATTAATTAACTGATAATGACATTGTTCACGAGGACTGATGCTCAGATTGGCATCTTTTACGACTTTTTTCAGTCCCATGTTGTCCATCTCTTTTATCACTTGTCATGCTATCTGGGACCATGATGAAGGGACTCGCTCATTTTTTTTTGTTTGCTTGTTTCAATTAAAAGAGCATGAGAAAAGCTGAAAGTGGCAAATTCGGAAGCCTTGACCACTGAAGCCACTTACCTCTAGTGGACACAGCATCCTGATCCCCAACTCAGCCCTCTGCCTGACCTCTTCTTCCTTTGAATTCCCAAAACTTCCTCTAGGTCTGAAAGCAGCCTACCAACTACTCGCCCTGAATTTTTTATCTGTTCCCAGCCTGGGTACAACCATCTTACTTTTGTCTACCTGCTCCCAAGGCCTAGATGTGTTTTTATAAACAGATTCTTTTTTTTTTAATGTATCAAATGTCAGAGGATTGAACTACCAGTATTTATACATTCAGGATTGGCCTCTCCGTAAAAATGTAAACAGAACCCTGACCACACTACCTATATTCTTCCCTAGAAGAACAAGGTCTTTAAAAAGACTCTCCTTGTGTGCAAAACTGCAGACCCACCCAAGTCCGGGGTTCCACTCTCTAGGTCCCTATATTGTTCCGAGCCCAGATGCAAGCCCCTGGTACTTACCAATGGACCTGGTTTCAGCTATTCCTCACCCCCTGTTTTCTGCCTCAAGACGTTCTGCTAGGGGCATCCGGGAAATTGACTTCTTGCGGAAGGAATGGAATAGGCCCTGCATGGACTCCCAGCCTGCGATTCTACTCCCTCTCTGAGTTCCTTCGTCTCTCCTACTGCCTAGCAGTAAAAACCTAAAAAAATATTTCTCAGTGCTGTTGCCCAGGGCTCCGGGGGTAGCGGCCTGGCCGGAAGGGCCTGGAATCCCTGGCAGCACCTGAATTGGGCGCTAGCCAACCCTGTCCTCCATTCACCCTGACCTTGCCTTCCATCCTCCAATTATTACGTACCCCCAAGAAAAGCACCCAGCAGGCAAGGAGAGGACTGACTGGGGGCTCCCTTTGGTCCTTGGGGCTCCCTTTGGGGCCTGGGGCGACTCTGCCTGCCTCCAAAGGCCCATGCCCAAGGTGGAGTCGTTGGTCTCCACTGGACGACCCTAGTCAGGCCTAGCAGGAGTCCCAGGCCGCCCCTGCCGGGCCGCACCGGCTTCCACACACTGTGCCCTCGGGTCCCTCTAATTTATGGCCCTCAGGCTCCTGTTGACACCCTTTTCCACAGCGAACTCATTCGGGTGAAATCCCCATCTACCACCCTCATCTACACATCAGCTTCCCCTCCCCGCTCCAGGCCAAGCCTGGGGGCTCACAATTTCAGCTCCTGCCACTGTCTATTTCCACCTTCCCCCACCCCAACAAGGCTCTTGCATCTTTCTCAAGCCTCTCACGCCACGCAGGCACCGCGCAGCCCGGGTGCCCTGCGGCCCGGTGACTTACAAGTGGAGATCCATTTTCCGTTATAATGTGTTCAAGATCACCTAGGCCAGCAGTCTAAACATCCACGAGCCGTCCTCCTGGCCTGCCTCTTAAACTGGTGTTTAATGGTTCCCCTCCGATAACTAAACCTGCTTTCCACAGATGCCCGCTTTTATGGGAGAGGCAGGAATGCAGAGATATATTTATATGTTTGTTCATAAAAACTGGAAAATAAGCTCTGAACACGCTGTAAAAAATATTCAGTTACTTACCAAACAGGCTAGTTAAACCAGGGGAACACTGATACCGGCCACACCACAAATTCGAGGAATCGAGGTGCCTGCGCTTTGAAATCGCCCAAGGTCTTCTTCGTTGGACCTGGTGTCCCTTGAAGAATATGGAAATAAGAGGACTTACAATCGCCCTGACCATTCCTCCGGGGGTCTCAACGGTGATCTCCAAAAGCAACCACAATGACTTGAGCCACCCCAAACGGCCCGGGCCGGCCAGGGTAACGTGGTGGGTAAGTGAAGGCACCCCGAGCCGGGAGTTTCCAGCCTGTGCCCAGGTCCAAGCAGCAGCCTTCCCCACCGCGCCCCGCGCCCGCCTCGGCCCAGCCGCCCCCCTTTGTGGGGCCCTCGCCGCTCACCTCATCGGCCCTCGGCCCTGCACAGAGCTGCGCCCGGCCGCCTGCTGATTTACTTGCCTCGGTTACCTACCAAACACTCCGAAAAGCAGTATCTGCGTACCTTTTATTTTTTTTTTAACCAGAAAAGAAAGCGGAGTGATACTCTACCTGGTTTGAGATTCTTCAATATTTGAGACTTGGGAGAAAATATTTTAATAATGAAGCATCTGTTAAACACTTGCATTAACCTCTGGCTGATAAAAAAGTTTTTTTTAACTCTGCCCCCCCCCTCGTTTTAATTATCTTATGGTTATGAAGGGGCAGCCAATCCTGGAAGAGGACCTCGGCAATTAGCAACGAGAACATCAAAAAGTTTTATTGCGGAGAGAGCGAGGCGCCGCCCCCGCCGCCCCGGGATTGGCGTGAGGAGCCTCTGACGACATATATTAACCCGAGCGGCCCTAAAGATGTAGCTGTACATGGAGATCTTGCTGGGAAAATCCGCTTGTTCCACCTCACGGCGTCCAGCCCAGGAGAACTGCCGCCGCCACCACCCGGGAGCTCCCTCGACCACAGCGCAGACCCCTCCGAGAGCCCGAGCCGCCTCCTTCGCTCTCCAAGGCGACCGCAGGGCCCCAGATCCTTACCCGGAAAGAAGGAGAGGATCTGAGAAAATGGATGCACTGAGACCTCTCTGAAAACCCTCCGAGGGAGCCCGAGAGGAGCGAGGACACGTTACTCGCAGCTAAAATCACATTCAAGGACCAACACAACCACCACCAAAATTTTCATTAAAACAATAAGCGCCCAAGAACCCAGATCGGGCTGGTGGGGGGAGGGGAAGGGGCGGGAAGGGGAGGGTCGCACAGAGGTAGCTTCACAGTGAGCAGTGGACCCCGCCGCTTCCCTGCAGAGCCGGGCCGGCTCCTCCAACTGCGGCTCGGACTCGTCCCGGGACTCCAAGTTAGCTTCGGCGCAAGGAGCGCGGCCGGGGCGTGGAGCCCGGCGACTCCGCGAAGCAGCCTCGCGGAAGCCCGGGCACTTTTGCATGAGCACCAGAGGATTTGGCCTCCCCGCAGCAGCCCGGGAAGCAGGAGCCGGCGCGCGGGCCGTGGAGCAAGGAGGGAGGCGGCGGCGGCGGCGGCCAAGGGCGCACAGTGCCGGGACCAGCTCGCCGAGCCCCATGGGGAGCCGGCGGCCGCAGCGCTGCTGAGGCAGGCCCAGCGGGCCAGGCGGGGG